CACAAAGAATATTACCAACCCCCACAGAAGTCCCCTGTTTCTTCCTTCCTGTCACTACCCTTCCCCTCACCCTGACTTCTAGCAGCAGTTTTGCTTTTGTACTTCATATTACTGGGATTATACAGTATATACTCTTTGGCGTCTGGCTTCTTTCACACATTATTAGTGTCATCACTTTGTTGCAAGTAGTCATAAAGCATTCATTTTCATTATTGTATAGCATTTCACTATGTGAATATGCCACAATTAATATATCCATTCCAGTGCTGTTGGGCATTTGAGCAGTATCCTATGTATAGTGCTGGTATAGATTTTAATGAGTGCATGACTTTGGGGGAACAGAGGTGTGCATTTCTGTTGGATCTATATCTCAGAGTGGAATTGCTAGGTCCTAGGTGTAGGGTATGTTAGGCTTTAGAACTACCGAACAGTTTTTTCAAGTGTTCATACTATTACATTTTCCATCAATAATAGTTGTAGTTGCTCTACATCTCTGCCACTTGGTACCTTCCTTTTCATCTTAGCCATTCTGGGGACATGTAGTGGTGTGGTATTGTGGGTTTAATTTGCATTTCTGATGATTAATGAAGCAGAGCACCTTTTCATGTTTATTCATCATTCGGATAGCTTTTTTTGTGAAAATTTAAGTCTTTTATTTTTCTGTTGGTTTATTGCTGACTGATTTTAGGAGTTCTTTATATATATTTTGGAAACAAGTCCTTTGTTGGATATAAATCTGGATTGTTGGATATATATATATTCAATTCTATTGGTTGCCTTCTCCTTTATAATGTCTTTTGATGAATTAAAAAGTTCTTAATTCTAATATTCTATAAGCAATTTTCTCCCCTTGTATGGTTAGTGTTGTGTCCTGTTTTAAAAAAATCCTTGCCTACTCCAAGGTGACATATTTTTTCCCCCTAAAAGTTTCATTTAATCTTGCAGATTTGCAACACATTTGGAAGTAATTTTTGTGTATGGTGTAACATAAAAGCAAAAATACATTCTTTTCCTATGTGACTATCCAATTGACCCAGCAATATTAATTGAAAAGATCACTTTTCTTACTGCACTGCAGTGTTACCTTTGTCATAAATCAAGTGACCACTCGTGCAGGTCTGTTTCTTGGACTTCTTTTTCTCTTCATTGGTCAGTTTGTCTATCCTTGTGTCAATATCACTTTGTCTTAATGACGATAGCTTTATAGTAGCAAGATGGTTTTAAGTGATTATAACTTCCAATAATATGATTGGAAGGCAAATGCTCAAAGCCTGAATTTGAATCTTCTGGATAATGAAGTTATAGCTTACATATATCCTGTTGACACAAAGGGAGGGCAAAGAAAACTTATGAAACAGTTGAAAACATCCTGGGTAGTAAAGAGATGATAATAAAGATTATTACTGGGTGTACTGCAATGCTTATTAGGGAACTGGATGCCTACTTTCCAGGTACAGGAGAAAAAAAGACAATAAAAAAAACAAAAGAATTATGTACAAGTAGCAAGTGCAAAATGGTGTGGTGTAAACCAAGTGCTATACAAATGAAAGGAAAAGAAAGATCAGTGAGGGATGGAGTAGTTAGCAAAGGCTTCATAGAGAAAGAACCCTTGAATTTATTTGAGCCTGATTAGATCACTCTTAATGCAGAACATTAGAGATTTCATTTTTGTTTCCTGTATCTCCTTAGTGCATTAAATCAGTTATCATATCCTGCCCTTATTTCTTTAGATGCCTCTTTAATCTCTGAGTTTCAAAACCAACTAATGGTTTTAATCCTGACTGTACATCTGAATCATCTGGGAAACTTTTAAAAAATAATGATGCCCAAGGCTCTTCACACTAATAAAACAATCTGTGAGAGTGGAGGCCAAATTATCAATGTGTTTCAATGCACTCCCACTTGATTCAAATGTACAGCTGAAGGTGAGGACTGCTGAGTTAGAAGGTACATTCAATCAGTGGTTTTCAACTGGTGATATGATACTGTCAGATAACATACAGGACACTTGGTTGAATTTTTTCAGATAAACATTTGGCTTCCCAGGGGAAATTTGGCAATTTTTGGAGATATTTTTTTTGTCATGACCAGGGGTTGCTGCATCTGGAGGATGGAGGCCAAGGATGCTGCTCAGCATCCTATAATGTACATGACATCCTCGAGAACAAAGAATTATCTAGTTCAAAATGTCAACAGCACTGAGGTAGATAAATTCTGCTTTGGAGCAACAAGAGAACCAATCATAAGAAGAAGAAATAGAGTTGGAACTAAAAGCAGAATTTTGTTCAAATGTAAGGATTATACTGATGTTACAAGAGACAGCAGCCCAAGAAAGAAATGAGTTTTATTTACTTATTTATAATGAGGGCAATTTCTTCCTTTCTTCCCTCCTTTCTTTCCTTCTTTATGGCTGTGTTGGGTCTTTGTTGCTGTGCATGGGCTTTCTCTAGTTTCAGTGAGCGGGGGCTACTCTTCATCATGGTGTGCAGGCTTCTCACTGCGGTGGCTTCTTGTTGTGGAGCAGGGGCTCTAGGCGTGCGGCTTTAGTAGTTGCGTTGCGTGGGCTCAGCAGTTGCAGTGCACGGGCTCAGTAGCTGTGGCGCACAGGCTTAGTTGATCCGCGGCACGTGGGACCTTCCTGGACCAGGGATTGAACCCGTGTCCCCTGCGTTGGCAGGCAAATTCTTAACCACTGCGCCACCAGGGAAGTCGAAGAAATTAGTTTTAATCTTGAAGTCAGAGAATTACTGTGTGAAGTGTAGGATCTATAACTGAATTTATAGATACGTTTCAGTAAAATTTCAAAGAACTTCAGAGCATGTAGAGTTCAATGGAATGAACTCAGAAGTTTATGAAATGTGGCAGCACTATTAATCTGAAACTTAAATTCTGCAACTCTTTGATATTTTTAATCACTTTATAAACTTGTTGATGCACTGGGTCTTAACACTAGCTGTGTGACGTGATGCATGTTCTTGTTTCCCATTTTGTCTATTGTAAAAAGAGGGAGGTGGGTCAGATGATCTGAAAGACCCCTTCTAGCATTTATCTTCTATACAATAATTCCTAAGTTCTTGTCAAAATACAAATTTTACAACATAAAGGTGTTTTTCAATGATAGGTCTAAAATTAATTTCAATGGCTCAGACTTACTTTAAAAGGTAGCAAATTTATGTTTAAGATAATTTTACCAATTCTTTCTTAATGGGCTCCTAATCAAATGAATATGATGAAACTGATAACTGCAGTTTTCTTACTGCAGTACATAATAGTTAACTATTTTCTAGTACTATTAGTAAGAATCCCTTGGATTATATATCCCAAACCTAAATCTGGCCATTCCTACTTTTCAAGGAAAAAAAAATTTAACTGGCAGTTACTGCTTCTCATACTTTTTGTTTCTGCAAATCCTGTTAGAAAGCGAGACGATAAAAGGAGTCCCAACATTGTGTATCCTACCCCTCACATAATAGAGTATGTAACCATAGCCACCTATAAGGAGGAAGTATCCTTTTCAACCAGTAGATGGCACTTCAGAATTGTTAAAGCAAATGGTGAAATTTCAAGGAACAGGGCTCAAAGAATGGTGCAAAGTAGGAAAGGCCTGAATAAGCAATACGCATATAAGAAACGAGTGGACCACATAATTCTTTTTTTGTGGGAACTGTCCTTTGCATTGTAGGATGTTTAGTAGCATCTCTGGCCTGTAACTACTAGATGCCTATAGCACTCTCCCACCCCAAGTTGTAACAATCAAAAAATATCTCCACATTGCCACATTTCCTCTGAGGGCAAAATTGTCCCAATTCACTGAGAAGGCAAATGCTATGCAAACAGGCGATCTATAATTATGCACAGTAAGGGTGAATCTCACATTGCTGAGTGAAAGAAGCCAGAGTGAACCTAGTATATATGATTTCATATATGTAAAGCATCAAAACACACAAAACCAACTTATACTGTAGGAATTCAGGATAGTGGTTGTTTGTGGGAGGGGCAAGTAAGGGGAGGAAGTGCCTGAAAGGGAGTCGGATGAGCCTCTGAGGTACCAGTAATGTTCTGTCTTGATCTGGGTGCTCCTTAAATAGATGAAAATTTATCGAGCATATATACTTAAAAAAATTCTTTTCAACACGTTTTGGGGTCTTTCCTGGTGGCACAGTGGTTGAGAGTCCGCCTGCCGATGCAGGGAACATGGGTTCGTGCCCCGGTCTGGAAAGATCCCACATGCCGCGGAGCGGCTGGGCCCGTGAGCCATGGCCGCTGAGCCTGCGCGTCCGGAGCCTGTGCTCCGCAACGGGAGAGGCCACAACAGTGAGAGGCCCGCGTACCACAAAAAAAAAAAAAAAAAAAAATGTTTTGGAAGTCAAGACTTCATCTTTTTCATAATGAATGAAAACACTGTAGCTCTTATTCTTTGAATCATAAGCAACACTCATTATCAAACTATCGATACATGTTAAACAAACAGTATTAAATGAAGTTGTAAACTAAATTAAAAAGCTGGTCATCTCCATGTGATCATTTGAAAAACAGGCAGTTAATTTTAAAAATACAGAAAAATCCATTTCAATTAATTCATTTGGTAGAAGTTACTTGTTCTCCTGAGATTTATCTATATTCCTAATGACAAAAGACAAATCAAAGATGAGTCTAAGTTTAAAATGCTGTAAAAACAACTCTGTCCCACATGAGACATTTCTGTAAACTACTGCAGTTTCCATCTATTGCTAAATTTGGAGAAATATGACTTAGCAGCTGAAGCATAGTTTTGTCTGAGAATAAACTACATTTATCTGTCTCAACCCAGGAGTTAAGAATTATTTTTCACTATGTATAAAGATGAGATTCATATTCTTTTATATGTAAAGTTTTAGTATTATCCTTATTCTTCTTTTCCTGTACATACATTATTTCAAAGTAATACTCAGATGGCACCAGGACATCTAACAAGTAATATAGTAAAAAGAAAATTAAAAAAAAGTTAAATCTACACTGAATCCAGATTTCTCAACTGCATTTATTAAAAAAAACCCCAAAAACGAAAAAACAAACTTTAAGAAGATTAATATTGTAGTTTCTTAGGAATCTTTAAGAATTATATTTTAAAAATACTGCAATGAAAAAACATATCATAACCAAATGTATGATTTATTTTTGGAGAAAAATAATTAAAACTGAGGTTTTTCCAATTAAGGAGAGAAATAACAATATGAGATCATACCCTGGTTACATGTTAGTTAACACATTCTATACAATGTGGATGTGCTCAAGATGTATTTAATGATATTATGAATGAACATTTGAAATTTAAAAATCACAAACCGCTTGCCAATATTGTAAATTCATAAATGTTGAAATAAATACCTACAAGGAATTAAATTTTGAAAACTGAAGCCTTCGACAGTGTATAGATCATCCCAAATGTTACAAATAGCAGAGCAAATAAGTTGACATTACTGCTAGTTTCCACTTAATTTCTTCATAATATGGCTCTCTGGTGTTGCATTAGTGAAGATACTTCCTACAACCACATGGGTACCCCAGAGACTGTGACGAATCACTTTACAGCAACCAAGATCATCAACAGAGAATCCTAAATGTCGATAGCGTTCATCTGTCTCAAAAAGAGTGTTGTTTGTATATGGTCCAAAAAACTGGAGGAAATAAAACAAGTCATATTTTCATTAGCTAGAAAGATAATGAAGTAATAATTTTTATGCAAATACGAACACATGTCTATATAAATACTCTGAATATTTAAAAAATCAAATAAGAAATAAAAAGGTCACATGGAACACCTAACTGTCCTAATACCTCCTCTCCCCTCAATACCTGTGCATTCTGGAAATGTGAAATGAATGATCTAGCAGACTGCATATTACCTAGAACCAAATGCATAATATTATATGACCTTTAGAGATGAAATAAGCCTTAGGCAATCATCTATGGTTCACCTTTGTAATTTTTAAGATAAGAAAACTATCAGAGTAAGGTTTTCATTTCTAGTACTCACTAAATCTTGACTTTGAAAAGAAACCGTATATATTCCTATTTTAAGATTGAAAAAAATTACTATCTGTAGCTGAAAGATATACACAGAATTTAAAATATGACCACAATAGTGGTTCAGTTTTCTTTAAAGTATAGCTTTATAAATGTTAATTTCCAAAAAGTTACTTTTCTAAATATTTCTTTACCATCCATATTCTTAATTCTAAAAATAAGTGTTTCTTCCTTAATGAAACTATTGGATACTAAGTTTTAACTAATGAACAGTAAACACACTAATTCAATGTAATTCAAACAATATCTATTAATGAGGATGGAAAATAAATTTTAAAATTATTTTTAATGAAAAAAATTTAAAGTGATGGAGAAGCTTAACTATGAGTGCCAGAGGTCCCTCAAAGTTGTGAATTCAACAGACTCTTGGTACCTTGGTACCTACAACAGACTCTTGGTACCTATTTTTATACTTCTTTGCATAAAATTGTGAGGTTTTCAAAGTCTTAAATGGTCTACTTTTACCAAGGTTATAATTATAAACAATTTTATAATAAAAATAATTCCTACTTCAAATTATATAATGTGGCTTTCAAAATGTATTTAATTACTCACTGCCAAACCAGATGATGGGTCAATAAAGTCAGCCCAATAGCCTTCAGCTCGAAGGGCGTAGCAAATTTCTTTAGCACCGCTGATGAACTGCATAGAAAAAGGCACAAATAATATGCTCAAAGCAGCAGCACAGAGTGTTTTATTTCTCAATAAATTTTTAAGATATTTTTTGCTTCAGATAGAGAATACAATAAGATTAATAAACAATTAAAACTAATGATAAATTAAGACTGTAAAGTCCTAAGATTATTTTCACCAGTCCAAAAGATTAATGGTTCATATAACATTTCCATTTCTTTTAAAAAGTCTAAATTGTATATTTTTTTCTTCTAAATTATTTCCTATTTTAGGAACTATTTCTAATCACTTCTGTGCTATTAGCTCCCAAATTTGTCATGGATTATAACCTACAGTTGCTATTTTGTATCGTTACAGAGGTATTAGAAATAAGGTAAGAAAGGGAAAACAAAATATTCATAATGAAAAGATATGGACCATTCATTAATTTGAATGAAAGTTGGTTAAAAACATGTACTTGTTTGTGTGTCCTTCAAAAACACATCTATCCACTCACATAGTTATAAATATTTCTGAAAAGGCACATAAAAATAATAAGATAAATGGATAGATTGGGTACAGGGCTGGACCACATACTTCCTTTTCACTATACACCTCTCTATCTTTTGTATTGTGTATAAACATTACAGACCACGTGCATGTATTAAAATCTTGGTCTTACCATCCTAATTCCTACAATGTCTTTATTAGCTTTATCAGAAGTCTAAGCAGTGAAAAAGACTAGAAGCAAATATGAGAATCAGATTAGAATGTTAAAAAAAAAAAAAAAAGACCGTAAGTGTTTAAAGACAAGGGCACAGTTCTGCTCACAGCCATAACAAAGTAACAGTTATCAAACTTGCCACTTGCTGAAAAATATAAAACTGACCAAAATATATGAGGCAACTGTTTTTAGACACTGAACAATAGGCAGACAAAACTGCAGCGGAGAAGGGAAACAAATAAGGTGATCCCCATATATGCTCCAGGCTTCTGTCTGGGGACACTCTCTTGTTGCAGGGCAAAGAAGTGGAGCCCAAGCAAAGTGATAGTGTCACTGAGCTGAGGGGGTAGAAAGCAAGAGTTCTGAACTGTTGAAGCATCTGGAATTTCTGGCGTAGGGTAATGGAGCAGAGGGAGATGCACAAATGGGCTTCCCATGTGGTCCGCAGAGCAATTTACCCTGGTTCAGTAGCCAAGGGTTGAGCTGCGCAGATACAAGGTGAGATTCCTCAAGGTCTAGCAGAGAGTGCCAGCTGCGGGGCTGAGAGCTGAATGGTGATATCAGGGGTCACGCACTACAGGGTAACGTGAATTTCTGGCCCACCTAGAGTGATGAGACCTCACTGAGCATCTCTGGCATTAACCTGAGATGCTCAGAAGTCCAAGCCTTGATAGCCCGAGGGCCAAACCTGGCTGGCTGCCTGCCTGTTTGTGTAAATACAGTTTTGGCGGAACGTAGCCATGCCTGTTCATTTATATATGGTCTGTGGTTGCTTTAACAATACATGGTAGAATTGAGTAGTTGAGAACCTATCACCTACAAAACCTAAAAATTTATCATCTGGCTCTTTACAGAAAAAGTTTGCTGATCCCTGCTATAGAGATATACAACTTTAACCTATTTTCTCCAAATACAGGCATATCTCATTTTTTTGGGCTTCACTTTATTGCACTTCGCAGGTAAGTTTTTTACAAATTGAAGGTTTGTGGCAACCCTGTGTCCAGAAAGCCTATTGGCAACATTTTTCCAATAGCATTTGCTCACGTCACGTGTCTGTGTGACATTTCGGTAATTCTCTCAATATTTCAACTTTTTCATCTATTATTATATTTGTTATGATGATCTGTAGTCTGTGATCTTTATTGATGTTTTACTACTATGACTCACTGAAGGTTCAGATGACGGTTAGCATTTTTTAGCAATAAAGTATTTTTAAATTACGGTACGTACATTTTTTTTAGACATAATGCTATTGCACACTTAGACTACAGTACAGTATAAACATAACTTTTATATGCACTGGGAAACCAAAAAATCTGTGTGACTCACTTTATTGCGATATTTGCTTTATTATGGTGGCCTGGAACCTAACCTGAAATACTTCCAAGGCATGCCTGTACTTTCTTGTAAACTAATGAAAAACATTTAGATAATACTGTACTCTATAGGTTATTTTCATACTTAATATTTACACTTACTGCTGTATTTCATTAATCCTCATAATTCTTAAAAATAGGAAAACTGAGTATGGTTTAGGAAAGTCATTAGAATTATGTATCAATTTAATAAAAGATGTACCATACACAAAAACTACAAGGTGAACAAAACGATGCATTTAAATGTTTGCAAAGGTTAACTAAAAGAATCCCAAATGATCACAAAAAGAACCAGTTTAAGTATTTTTCTTAAAGATTTCTGCTTGGGACTTGCCTGGCGGCGTAGTGGTTAAGAATCCGTCTGCTAATACAGGGAACATGGGTTCGATCCCTGGTCTGGGAAGATCCCACATGCTGTGGACCAACTAAGCCTGTGTGTCACAACTACTGAGCCTGCACTGGGAGCCCGCGAGCTACAACTACTGAAGCCAGCACACCTAGAGCCTGTGCTTCGCAACAAGAGAAGCCACCGCAATGAGAAGCCTGTGCACCGCAACAAAGAGTAGCCCCCGCTCGCCACAACTAGGGAAAGCCCGTGTGCAGCAACGAGGACCCAACGTAGCCAAAAATAAATAAATTAATTAAAAAAAAAAAGATTTCTGCTCATCAATAGCAAACACTGACATCTGCTGGAAAAAACCTGAAATAAAGTAAACCACAACATACAATATCTACTTGGACAGTAAGCTATGTGTGGTTCTAAAATAACCACTAACACGTCTAAAATAAAAAATGTTTTTTCATAAAAAAATAAAATAGCTTTAGTTATTATAACGTTTAAAATGCACATGATAAAGCATGTTGCCATTTCAAAGGCTGGAAATTTTTTTTTTTAATTTATTTTATTTTTTGGCTGCATTGGGTCTTTGTTGCTGACTTACATCTATACGGGAGCCAGTATCAAATGAGGCTCAGAATCTTGAATGGTTCAAAAAGTAGGACTTACTAATACAATGCACATATCAGAGCAAACTCTCTAGTGTCTAAATGGTAGTATACATTTACTAATCATTGTCTTAATATATAAATAGAAAATGTTTATTGAGTTATTATGTATTTAAATTTCACTTCTCCAAATTCAGATCTTTTAAAGATCAGAAAGAATGCCTTATGCCTCTCTGTAACTTCTTTGTTAGCTGGCATATATAACTTGCTCATGATTATTAATTACTACATGGAATTTATTAGTAAAGTTATATGTGGGACATTTAAGTATGAAGTCATTACCATAAAGTACTCTATTGAGTATGTAAATAATATTTTTATAAATGAAGAGAACCATACATCCAACCCTAAAGAAAATATAAAATAATTCCAAATATTATCCTGTATGTAAATTAATAAAGAGAATTTTTTCAACTATAGTTAGCTAAGGTGTCCAAGTGAGCTAATCCCAACATGTCATACACGCAAAGGAATATTCCTTTCTATCTTGTAGAGAAAGAAATTGATATAACTGAACATCAAGCTCTTAGATAAATAATTATATAATTTTTAAATATAAGACTTTAAGTTACTACTTCTCATTTCTCAGGTTGGTAAAAATGAAAAGTAATGCTAATATCCAGGGTAAAGGTGAGAGCATATATACTAGGACAGTCTTTTTGGCGGGCAAATTGGCAGTATCTTTCAAAACTTAAAATGAATATACCCTCTGATTCAGCAATTCCCTATTTAGGAATATATAAGTATGTACAAAAAATATATGTACAAATATATTCACTGCCTGTAATAGCCTAAGTTTGATTTTCAACTTATAAATGACTAAAAATTTTTTAAAATAATTAAAAAAATTTATGGTTTGCCCATGCAATGTAATATTACACAGATTTTTACAAAGAATGAAATAAAATCTATGCGTAATGTTATGGAAAGGTGTCAAAACATATCTTCTAAGTTAAAAGCAAAGGATGGGAAAAAAATGTGGGTATATACATTATATTATTATTGTACTGTACACTTATCGTTTACTCCTTTAAGAAGGCTGAGGTATTTTCACTTTTTACTTGACATGCTTGAGAGAGAGAGAGAAAGAGACATGGAGGGGGAGAGAGGATCAGAGAGAAGGAGAGAGAGATGGGTACGAAGAGTTAATTTTACATTTTTGTTGTTTACTATATTCCCAAATTTCCTAAAACAGACATAAATTTAAAAAAAACTGAGGAAGTACTGGACAGAATCTAAGTTTTTCAAAGACACTAAAAAAAAAATTGTGGTATTTTTATTCTCAGAAAACATGTAAGTTTTTTAGTACTGGAATACATTAGCAGAGAATTAGTAAAGGCTAGAAAAGATAGCCATCATTTTAAAACACTGGTTCATTGGTATTTAAATAAGATCATAAAATTAAATTGTCAGCAGCTGAAAGAATTACCTTTTCTAAGAGCATTTCTCTTTCAGTTTCTACCTCCTCACTCCAAACAGTCATATCATTCTTAGTTTTCTGTGTTACAGTCAGAATCATTAGTTTGTTGGTGGCTACTTCTGGAAACAGTGATTCAAAATCTGTAAGTGAAATAAGAATAAAACTCCAGAAGAAAATAAATTTTTTTAAAAAAGAAACAGTTCATAAAATACTTTAGAAAAATGATGATTAAGTTAAATTATTATGGTACCAAGTTAGGTTTATAAATGCATATTAGTTTTGAAAAGGATGAAATGAATTTAGTTTTGGTTTACTTCTGCTCTTTTTGGATGAACAAAAATACACTGCCAACAATTCTGAAGAGTAAGTTGGGTTACATGTTCTTGGTCTTGTAATTTAAAAAAAAGTTCATTATTAAGATTTTTCTCAGTAGTACTAATGTATTAGCTCATGGAAATTATGGCTGTAATAATCACCCAGGAGTGGGATGACTTTAGGGAAAGATTTAGGAAAAAAGTTATTAAAAATTCTACTATTCCTATCTAATGGCAGCATGAGGTCAGATGTCAGGGGACACTTGAAAGCCTTATCTTGGCCAGGCAATCATCATTTCCAGCTAGACATATTAAAATACTAAGTTATAAAGCATTACGATTCCTATGGAGTACATTATTCAACACATTAAAAAATTAGTGACATTATCTAACACACACTAGTGTAAATATGAATATAGCACAACATACCTCTTCGCAGCAATTCCGGACATGTTTGGATTGCACACTCTACTTTGGCACTTTCAAAGTAAGTTTCCGCACTGTTAATTTCTTGCTCAACAGGTACATCATTACCCTAAGGCGGAATAAGAAATATAAGTAAACAAAATCTGGAGTTCAAATACAATATCTTGCCTGTTATAAACCTGTTTTCCCTAGAAAGTTTTTTCAGTAATCCTAACCTAGCTGGTGATGGAGTAATAGTCAGTGTTTTCTTACATACTCAAACTTTTCTCTGCGATGAATGTAATATTTGAAAATTTAAAAAAAATGTTGAATTAAAAAAAGGAACATATAAATACCCTGATATTCTAAGACTTAATATGAATAGAAGTTGGCTAAAAAACTAACTAAAATGCGCCATGATTGTGTCTTACAATGTTACCTCTTCTGATATTCTGTTATATCTAATTATCCTTCCTTTTGTTGTATAATCTGTAAAATGGGGATAAGAACACTAACTTACAAAGCAACATGATTAAACATATAGCTTCTCCAACAGGAAGCGCTTAGAGGCTTTTATTCAACAGAAATTTACTGGGTGTCTGTTATACACTAGACATTATAAACAGGAACAGGCACTACAATGGTAAAAAATCCAGTCTTCACTCTTAGGTATATAAGAGTTAGTAGAAGAAAAATGCATGAACAAATAAATGCAATCCATATCAGAAATGCTATAGAGTTATAACGGAAGTCTTCTGGAGGTATAGATGGGGAAGAAACTTGCTTTGCTGGCAGAAATCAGGAAAAGGTTGAAATCACGTTTGAGTTACATATTAATTAACATTTGTGTCTGACAGATAAAGAATAGACAGACTATAGGTTAAGAATTCAGGAGGAAAAAAACAGTCCAGCAAGAGATAATAACAGTGCAAAGGCATACAATGGTCAAAGGGAATGGCGTAATTTTAAAAAAATGAAAATATGCTGTGATTGGAGAACAGAAGGAGTAGGAAGTAGTGGGAAGTAAGGTGAGAAAGATAAGGGATCAAAATTGTAGAAAGCCATTTATGCCACATTACGAAATTTTGTAAAAGCAATGAGGAATATCAACATGCGATATAAAAAGCTAATGACAGTATTACTGTAGAGGATGTATGGCAACGAGGAAGAGCAGGTGACAGACCAGTAACAGCCAACAATTACTGATCACTTAGTTTAATAAGTATTTTACATACATTTTCACGTTTACTCCTCATAGCAACTTTGTAGGCCAGGGATTATTATTATCCTCATTTTACATATAAAGAAACAGAGGCTCAGAAAGGTGAAGTAACTTTCTCAAGGTCACAAAATTAAGTAAATGGCTGAGTTAATCTCTGAATACAGATTTATCCTATCTCCACAGTCCATCATACTATAATGCCTATAAAAATTGAGGTAAGATAAGGAGGCGCTGAACTTTGGCAGTATTAGTGAGAATTGAAGGTACACAAATAATTTAAGAGCTACTTTCAGAGATAGAAGCAATGTAATTCTGTCACTATTTACAGGGGTATGATGAAAAGAGGAGTCAAGGTTGGCACTATAATTTTTATTTTTGGGACAGTGGGAGGATGACTCAGTCCCTTATACTACTGACAACATGGGAATAAGGACAAGTTTTGAGAGAAAAAGGACTAATTCAGTACTAGACGTGTAAAATCTTGGGACTTTTGAGACATCCAGATAAAGATGTTTGGCAGGCAGATAGTAATATAGAACCAGAAATGTCAGAAACAGAAATAAGAAGCTAGGAAATATGAATACACAGCCTGTGGAGAAAGCCAAGGACTTAAGTGACCAGGGAGCAAGTCAAATGAGAAAATGAAGATCAGAGACATTTGGGAAATATCATGTAACTGGTAGACAGAGGAGGAGTCAAAAAGACTGAGAAGGAATATCTGAGATAAAAAGTCAGGGGAGGTCAACTGTGTCCCAGTGTTAGGTTATCTGATATCACCCATAATTTGAGGGGTTGCTGCTTTTAATAATATGGCTTTGATCAAAATCTCAACCTGAAGCTATACAGAAATATGAAAAATGATAAGGATCGGGGTTTGAAAGAAACTCTGAAATGCATGTAACTTTCCATTTGAGTGAGCAATGAGCAATACTAGTTTTAAAATGCATTTAAAAATTCATATGCGATACCAGTTTAAAAAACTCATTAAAAAAAACCCTCAGGAATTGTTTTTACAAAAGCTATTTAAAAATCCTCCTCTTCAGTCTACTGTATCCAGAGTTTCAGAGATCTCAAAATTTTCTTTTTAAATGGCTAGGGGAATATAAAACTAGTCGGAATTTGGTCCATATATAAATTACAATTACCATTAATAAAAGTGAAAAACAGGGAATATAAATTTCCAGTTATAGAATTAAGTTATTTATATTTGAAATAAACATTTAGTAAAAAATATATATTTTTGAAGAATTATTTAATTACCTAAAAGAGACTGCAATGTAGTTAGGTAAAAAAATTATATAGCAAACGCTATGTACAGGACAATGCCAAGCTTTTAAAAGCTATATATGTTGTTTCTGTTTATACTGGACTTAAATAGATTTTTTTTTTTACTTTTTCAATGAAAGTAATATGTTCAGTTATCAGAAATTAATATAGCATTAATAATTAGAAAAACAGAATGACCTTAACAACTTACCTGAAATTCATTCACATATTGTGCCATAACAAACTCATGTCTTTCGCTCGATAAAGGTTCTGCTAGAACATCAGGTAAAGTTTTATGAACCTGGCTTTTCTTCTGTGATGTGGTCCCATTGAGGTGACAATCAAAACCTATGTTCCCAGGAAGCTGGAATCTCTGATCCTGAGGTCCAAATGGTCCCATAGTTTCATCGGGCCAAACTGTTCGAGAGCCTAAAGAGGAACGACAAAATGAATCATTTTCTCCTTACTAGTTAAGTACATTGGTAGACTGAAAGAATGTTCTTCTTCCGATTAGGTATTTTTTTTTAGCTAACCAATAGTTGTTTGAAGTTTGCTTTCCTGTGTAAATATAAATTAGTTTGTTTCATGTTATTCCAAAACACTAATCAAAGCAACCAGCTGTCAGCTCATAGGTAATTCCATTACTAGGGAAAGAATTCAATAAAGTACTGTAAATGTAATTCTTTTTTTTTTTTGGCCATGCTGTGCGGCTTGTGGGATCTCAGTTCTCTGACAAGGGACTGAACCTGGGCCATGGCAGTGAAAGCCCGGAATCCTAACCACTAGGATTACCAGGGAACTCCCATACTATGTAATTCTTGACAGTCATTAAAAAGAATATGGTAAATCTTTACTGATAGTGAACGAAGTCCAGGACATATTACATTAAAAGAAAAAGCTAAGTCAAAGAACAGCATATATGACATTTACTTTTCATCCTTATATTTGTGTTTTTAAATACAGTAAAAAAAAAAAACATCTGTAAGGAAAGACATCAGACTTAATGGTGGCTACCCTTGGGGAGGGGCATTCAACTGCTGTTACCTGGTGGCACAAAACATTAATGGACTGGAAAAAAATCTTGTACAAACCAATGTGACATAATGCCCTGTTTACCAGCTACATGAGTTAATATGGATTTAATACTTACAGAAGAATAGACCACATTATTTTATTCCTGTAAAACTTTAAAAAATCCTAACATGTGAAAAATTCAAAAAGATCCAGAAAAGAATAAACTAGAAAATCAAATGAAGAAATACTCGGAGTAGGAATTTTGTTTAGAGAAAGGAAGGGACAACTGCTGCAGACTTTAGCTGGCAATAAAAATATTTATAAATACTCTGCCAGAACTGAGTGACTAAAAACGACCATGTCAATATGGCTGCCCCCATATCTCTCTTCCATACCTATGACAGACATCACCCATCAATCGCAGAACATTTCCCTGCTGAACACAGACATTGTCACATGATTCTCAACCTAAACACTCTAGCCCAGTATGTCTCAAACTTTTAATTATTTAAGAATCATCTAAGATCTTCTCAAAATACAGATTCTGATTTACTAGGTCTGCAGTGGGGCTAAAAATTCTTCGTCTAAACAGTCCCAGATGATGCTGATGCTATGCCATGCTATGCTATGCTGGTCTGCAGATCACACTGAGTAACAAGGCTCTAGACAGCCACTAATGATTGACTGGAGTCAGTTCACAAACTTAAACTTACCAGCTATTTTGAAGAACATGGGTTCTACAGATTATTCAGATCTGTTTCTTTAAATAAATATCCCATATTAACAGTGAATTTGAGCATATTTTCAAATGTTTACCAGTCATTTAGGTTTTCTCCTACAGAAATAGCCTGTTCAAATCCATTTTTGAAATTTTTTGTTTGGTTTTCTACTGGGTTTTCTTTTTCCTATTGATCTACAAAAATTCTTTATATAGTTGTCCCTAGTTATTCACAGGGGACTGCTCCCTGGACCCCAGATACCAAAATCTGCATATGCTCAAGTCCCTTATATAAAAGGGCATACCTCTACTGACCTTTGAACAACTGAGGGGTTAGCTGTTCAAACCCTGCATGCAGTCAAAAATCTGAATATAATTTATAGGCAGTTCTCTGTATAGTCAGTTCCACATCCTCAGATTCAATGAACCGAGAATTGTACCGTACTTATTTATTTTTGAAAAAAATCTGCGTATAAAGTGGACCTGAGCAGCTCAAAACCATGTTGTTCAAGAGTCAACTGCACGCACATATACTGTAACCTTCGTACATCACATCCTCCTGTATACTTTAAGTCATCTCTAGATTACCTATAATATCAAATACAATGTAAATGATATGTAAATAGTTGCTGGTGTGTGGCAAATTCAAGTTTTGCTTTTTGGAACTTTCTGGAATTTTTTTCCCCAAATATTTTTAATCCTTGGTTGGCTGAATGTGAGGATGAAGAACCCATGGATAGGGAGGGTTGGCTGTATATTCACAATGCAAACCCTTTACATTTTCTGAGTGACAAATCTTTCATTTATGATAGATGTATATTTAGCCTTCAGATTATGAAAATTGAGGAGTAATCAGAGATGGAGTTAGAAAACTGGACCAAGAAAACCAGGGGAGGCTTTGCATGCCCAAGTGAACTTATATTACACTGTAAGTAATGTGTTGCATGAAAAAGGATTCCATGGGCAATCCCTTTAGAATACATTAGGTGAAGTTTCTAAGAGCGCTCCCTGAATATTTTAGTGTGTATTATAAACCTCTACGATAGGACTATGGTATAAAGCATTTCTCCAAGTTAACTAATCACAGAGCTTAAAAAAATTTCTTTTTTCATCCTTGAACAATGATTCATAGCTTGGGAATAGTTTAGGAACTGCTACTGAAAGCAGTGGGAGATAATCGAGGCTTATGAAGGAAGTGACATGATTTAAAGTATTTTAGAATGATTGATAGTGGTGCACAAGATGGATAAGAAAAAGCAGACTTTGATTTAATAAACACTCAAAGTGACAGCTACATTTAAGAAATTCAGCAAAGAATGGCAAGAAGTAGTAACATAGTTTAATAGTATCAAAAGAAGATTTGTTTCAGGGAGGACTGTGTGCTCAAAGATCATTAGAAAAACACTAAAGTTCAAGAAAATAAGTTTTGGAAACCAATATTCATTCTTCTTTTAAAAAAATATTGTAACTTTCTGGTATAAATATTTAGGCAAGAGCTCTGATTTTATTCTCAATGGGATAAACTCAACTTTAGAAAATCAGTAAAACCTCAAGAAGAAATACAGTAAGTCCCCTACACACGAATGAGTTCCATTCCGAGAGTGTGTTCATAAGTCCAATAAAGTTAGCCTAGGTACCCAACTAACATAATCGGCTAGCATATAGTACTGTACTGTAATAGGTTTATAATACTTTTCACACAAGTAATACATAGAAAACAAACACAAAAAATAAAGACCTTTAAATCTTACAGTAGAGTACCTTGAAAAGTACAGTAGTCCAGTACAACAGCTGGCGTACAGGGCTGGCATTGGGTGAACAGGCAAGAAGAGTTACTGACTGGAGGAGGGAGAGGAGGTGGGAGATGACAGAGCTGAAGGATCATCAGCAAGGAGATGGAGGGCAAACTGCAATTTCACTGATGCCTGACGTGGATGGCACAGGCTCTACTTCCTTGCTCGACTCAATTCTATCTACCCTCTTGAAAAAACAATCCAGTGATGTCTGGGTAGTAGGTCTTTTTTTCTCATCACAGATGACATGGTAGCAGTGGACTGCATTCTGAATGGCTGCTGCAACCTCTGTGTACTGTTCTCCATTTTGGTCCTGTGCCTCAAAAACTAACAGTGCCTCCTCAAATAAAGAAAAACCCCTTGCATCATGAATCTCTTCGGTTCTTCAGTTACTTCTTCTTCCTCTTGTCTCTTTTCATCCTCTCTTGCCCTCCAACTCCATCAGGTCTTCATTAGTAAGCTCCTCATGGTGCACAGCAAGGATTTCAATGAAGTTGTCCTCTTGCAGATCTAGCTCCAGCTTCTCGCTGAGGGTCACTAAGTTGCTGAAGACCTCTTTGGACTCCTCATCCACCTTTCAAATCCACGAAAATTGTGAACAAACTGCAGGCAAAGGTTCTTCCAAACCCCATTCATGGGGACGGCCGTAACCTCATGCCAAGCAAAGTCAATGTTTTTTATGGCCTCGTGGCTGTTACAGTCCTTCCAAATTGTCACAAGGTTGTTCCTGATTCGTCACTTGCCTTTACTGACTGATGAAAACTGTGACGTAAATAATATTTCTTGAAAGTTGCTATAACTCCCTGGTTCATAGGTTGGATGAGAGATGTAGTATTCGGTGGCAGATGCACTACTTTGATGTTGGGATGAAAGTCGTCCATGAATGGGGGGTGGCCCAGAGCACTGCTGAGCAGCAAAAGAATGTTGAGTGGGATGTCCTTCTCCAAGCAATATTTCTCTACCTCTGGGATAAAGTGGTGGAAAAACCAGTCCTGGAAAATGGCCTGTGTGACCCAGGTTTTGGGGTTACTCTTCCACACAACAGGAAGAGAGCCCTTGGCTATGTTTTTAAGGGCTCCTGGGTTCCCTGAGTGATAAACTAAGACAGCCTTCAGCTTCATATCACTGGAAAGAAGCATTGCCACCAAACAACAGCGGTAGCCTATCCTTTGCTGCTTTATAGCCTGGCATCAACTTTTCCCCCTTACTGATGTAACTTTTCCTCTGGCATCCTCTTCCAGTACAGTCCTGTCTCATCCACATCAAAAACCTGCTCAGGTGAATACGTACCTTCATCAATAATTTCTCGAAGCATTTCAGGAAATTCCCGGTCAGCTACCATATCTGCGCTTGCTGCCTTGACACTTACTTTTACATTGTGAAGGTTGGCTCTAGCCTTGAACCGATGAAACCAGCCATGGTTGGCATTAAAAGATGCGCCCTCTGATTCTTTGCCGTGTTTCAAGTCTTCATAAAGGCTTTTAGCTTTCTCTTGAATCAGCATTAAGCTGAGCGGGACTTGACGCTGATGCTGATCCTGCACCCACATACTGGGAAGTTTCTCCAACTCCTTCATCACTTTTCCACGCTCCTTCGATATTATTGTCAACATCATCGGCACAGCAGACTTCACGTGTTCCATGACCTTGTCCTTGTTCTTTAGAATCATGCTGATGGTTGAACGATTCATGTTATAAGAATGAGCAACGTCTACCTTCTTTTCGCCTCATTCCACTCTCTCAGTTATTTTCACTTTTGTTTCCATTGTTATTGCTTGGTGCTTCTTAGCAATACCAGCTATACGCTGCTTTTATGCTTGCTTCCGGACATCCTGGGCTTGAAATAAAGATGCTGTACCACTGTACTCTATACAGTACCATAAAGTACACAAAAGCACAACCACTTGTAGAGAATGCACACACGTGACAATGTACACCAGACACGTGAACTAACTTGCGTGACTGGTCACGTGAACTCATGTTCACATCTTTGAAAGTTCACAACTTGAAGGTTTGTATGTAGGGGACTTACTGTATTACAGGAAACACAACTCAGAATGTTATGAAACAATTATAAGTAAAGCAATAATAACTTTTACATACAGATATCTGGAGGTGCAGTGGCCACATGAGACTCATCAGAACCTGAAGATCCTGCAGTTGAAAAGGCTCTGGGATTGACAGCCCTTTTAACTAAAGAGCAAAATCCTGGGAGATAGGAAACCAGTCTGGCTCTGTTACAGAGCACCTAAGAAGGACACAAAAATCAAAATTATTCTGGATATAAATGCTATACTAACATAGACAATCTCTGGTAAATCCTCACATTGCAATATATCTTTTAAAACCAATGTTTATTCTACTATTATTGAGCAGCTACCACAGGATAAGCATCATGTATATTTATAATTTTAGATAAATACAAATATTTAAAAAACAAGTAATAAGTTACTTTGGGTAAAAATATATGGCTTTCCCATTCCCAGAATTAAGAGTGCCATACAGAAAGAATGGGAACCTCTAAAAGTTGCCCTATTTAGTGATGACACTAAAAAGGTAGCACAACTAATAAGATTCTATTCTCAAAATAAAGAACTTTCAAAACCTCTCCTAGAAACAAAACCTATTTACTTTCTAATTCTTCTCTTCTTTTACTGCTGTAAATTGTACTAATTATCTACCATACCATCTTTCCTCTTTCTTTAATGGCAATGTCCACTTTCCTCCATTTTAGCATACAACTTTGTGATACATTTTCTGCTCTTATGTTCATTCCCTAGACTCTGAGGTCAGTTACAATGGATGAATGTGTAAACATCTTTCACGTGTAAACTTTAATCAAAATACTTAAGTCAGAATAATTTAATGCAGGGGTTGGCAAACTATAGCTGAATATAGCCTTCTGTCTGTTTTGGTGAATAAAGTTTTATTGCCATACCCATTTATGTATAGTCTGTGGCTGCTTTCATGTCATAATGGCAGAGTTAAGTAGCTTCACAGAGACTCTACGGCCTACAAAGCCTAAAATATTTGCTATCTGGCTCTTTATATTAAAAAAAGAAATCGCTGACTCTTAGATTAGTGGAAAACATGTAAGGACAAATACCATAACATCTGTGAAATGCTATTAAAAGATCTGAACAATTAAGAGACCCTTGAGGACATAGGCAAAAAGTTTCATGGAGGATATACTTAGTTGTGAAGAAACAGAAATTTGCTGGGGAAAGGGCATTTCAATGAGTGACTTTCAGGAACAAAGGGATGGAGTCATAAAGGATGTACTCAGAAGAGTGACAAGTTCACTGAAGGTGGATATAAGGTAGTGCAGTAAAAAACAAGCTTGAAAGTTAACTTGTGGGCAACTATAAAAGGCTTTATACTTGACACAGACAGGAAAGGGCCTGTTATATCAAGATAATAAATCAGAATTTTAACCTGTAGGCAGGGAGGAAAAGACTAAACTGATAAAAATAAAGGATGTTTTAAGGAATGTACCACTAAGGGCAGTGTAGAGAATGGAGTGGGATTAGAGAGGTGGTATGAAAAATAGTTACCAGGATGTTGAAATAGTCTAGATACTGTAGAATCACTCTTTTTCCCTTTCACATAGTATTCTGAAATCCAGCCCTGTGTTCCTTCTGACTTTCTCATCCTAAGTACAAGAATACATCCTAACTGGTCGTTCTACTTCTCTGACATAATTTCTTACTCATTTTATCCCTCCTTCTCTTACTCCACTCTTTAGTCACATAAAAATATCTACCCAACTCTTCCCATATTTGTCTGCCTTCTTTTATTCTGCCACAAGATTTCTTCTGCTAAAACGTCCTTTTCCCTCTCCTCCTAGGCCTGACAAATTCCAACTCTTTCTACAAGATCTGGATAGACAGAACCTCCTTTATATGTCTTCAAAATGCAAGACCTGTCTCCAGAGCATTCTGCCCACCTGAAAATTTAAGCATCCTCCCTTGGGTGTGCACCCAACCTGCTCAGAGACAAAAATGGTAATTCTCAGTGGTACAAGAAATTTGAATTGTATATCAACATTGAGCAATTGTGATATTTCACACAAAATATCCAGACTTTCAGCTGTTCTTACAAACTCCAAAGATATGGCAGCGCTGGATTCACATTCCCAAATGACATTAGTTGGCAACACATCACTGTAGCTAAGGAAAGGCTGCTCCCTTTATATCAGAAATGAGTATTTCAGTTTGTACAAGTCCCCACCAAGGCTTCTTAATTGACCTGTTCAGCCTCTGAAGCATAGACATACCTGACCCATGCTATGTATGCAAACTAAATTGTTGAAGACATACATATCTATCTTCATGTTTCATTAGTAACATCCATTCAGCACTTAAAATGCACATAAACGAACACAAATTTTTAAACATATATTTGAATATTGTTTTATGTAAACTTCTTTCTAACAATAAAAGTATCCTTCAAAATACCTACTGGATTAATTTATTCATTCAAATCAAAATAAAGCCAGGTCAAATATTAGCATACTACTCTAACTAGTATCTTTCCTTTGAGAGTAGCACATGTTTCTTTTACAACATTCCCTTCCTATGATTATGGCTAGGTATAAGTTCACCTTAACACACGGGATACACTAGTGGTCTACTTTTACGACTTGGCCTTATAGTCTTACCATTAGGTTATTACTTAATATATCATATTTGACTACAGGAATACTCTCCTGGCTAACTGTTGCCATATTAGTCTTCCTAACACACAGCTCTAATTAAATCACCAAAATTTAAAGAATAAAGTCCAAATTACTGGGTTTGGCATTCAAGACTCTCTATTACATGATTCCAAATCCACAATCCAACCTTATTTCTCACTTATCTCTTTCACACATCTTACATTCAGGAAGACAGAACTGACTTCCTGATTTTTGAAAGGGGGGGTGTCTTTAAATATACCTCCTGCTCTGCCCAACCAAACCTCAGATTATCTAATCCCACCCATCTTTCAAACCTCAAATGCTTCTCTGATTAAGTGAACACAAACCCCTACTTTTCCTTCTCCACAAAGCTCTGAATCTGCACTGTACCTTTGTGTAGGTTTTAAAATTAGTTTCTACTCTTATTGTAATTGTTTTAAAATATGTCTTGTGTTCCCTATGGCAGGATGCGTTTGAGTAATCGCTGTACTGTTACAGTGAATAAATCTCTCTGGCCTGTGAGAATAATATCTCTTGCGCCCATTTTGTAGTATTTGGAGGGTGACTTCCTGTACTGAAACTGCTACAAAAACCTTCAGTTTACCTAACCAAAGAAACAGAAAACGGCTTAAAAATAATTCTAAATATTTACTGAAATAATGTCTTTTAAAACTACTGAAAGGGTGCTGGCACTGAATTTATTTCTAAAAACGAATTTATAGAAATAAATAGACGTGTATTGAGAAATATGTTGCGTTCAAACTACCCGCAAAGCGTATCAACCCAATTCACACCCGTTGCTTCCCTTGCCATTTCCGGTACACTAATTACGAAAAACATTATGCCATCAATGCCATTATCATTAAACCCGTCCTTCCTAACGAGTTCCCAAACTATTTTATTACTATACTGCTTCTTAAGAGGCTAATTTACTCACATTGGCCATTTCTGGCGGGAAGGGCAGGCGAAAAATATCTTCCCTTTTGTAAAGTTATTCCTGGGAAAGGACAAAACAAACAGGCCGGTGACGGATTAAACTCTAACAACAGATCACTGGGGTAACGTCCACCACCGCCTACTGTGTGCCCCTCCACCGAGACGGGACCAAAGTCCAAGCTCTCCCCGAACCCCAAAATTCGCCCCCCGCCCCCACAGGGCACAGCTCGCTGCCCACAGGAGGGCGTGAGGCTCTCAGCCCGCCCGGTTCGAGTCCGCGAATCGGACTCGACTCCGACTAGATCGGGGTGGCCAATGAGGAGCTCCACCGGGATGGAGTCCTGAGGCTCGAAGTAGGTATTTGAACACCGGTCAGGGCTGCCCGACGACAGAAGCAAATGTGCCAGCAGAGATGAAGGATGAGGAAGCGAAAAGGATCCTAAAGACAGAGTGCCAGGACGACTGGCGACAGCGATAGGGACCCTGTGGGAATAGAGGCAACACCGAGAGCTGCAGCCCGAAGATGGGCGAATTTGGAGGGGCTAATGCGGGCGGAAATCATACGTACCAGTCTACGCCGCCGCCTCCAGGTGTTGGAGACCCGGACTCTTCCCGTCTTCAAAATGGCGGCGCGACGGCAGAGCGGGTAGCGCCGAAGCTGGCAGTGCCCAGACTGAAGGAGTTGCTTCTGAGCGCATCGATGGGAAGGATCGTCGAGCCGATGATGCGCACGCGCACAGGAGGCCCACGTAGAGCCGCCCTTCCATTGGATAGTCCCCCGCCGCGACGTGGGCGGAGATAAAGTGACGCGCGGATGACCTGGGAGCCTGGAGGCTTGAGCTCTGGAGCTGGGTTTAGGCAGCCGTTTAATTTCGTGCATTAACTCACTGAACTGAGGTATTTGAAAACCTCTTCTCTCCCTAAGACTTTCTTATTGCCTCCAAGAGGTACAGTTTTCTGTTCTTTGTATGTGGTTTTTTTTATTTTTCAAGAAATCACTGTTTTTGAGAATAGGGCACTTAATGTCTTTCTTTATGTACCAGGCCTTTAAAATAGGCGCAATAAATATATATCCCCTTATTTATAAAGAGTATATGGGGCTTCCCTGGTTGGCGCAGTGGTTGAGAGTTCTCCTGCCGATGCAGGGAACACGGGTTCGTGCCCCGGTCCGGGAGGATTCCACGTGCCGCGGAGCGGCTGGGCCCGTGAGCCATGGCCGCTGAGCCTGCGCGTCCGGAGCCTGTGCTCCGCAACGGGAGAGGCCGCAACAGTGAGAGGCCCGCGTAATGCAAAAAAAAAAAAAAAAATGTAAAGAGTATATAATTTTCATTTGTCAGTTACATTTAAAGACAATTAACTGAAGTCCATACTTTATTCATACTGATATATTTAGTTGGGTCATGTTGGGCAAGTTAGTCTCTTTATTTTAGTTTCCTCACTTCTAAAATGGGAATAAATGGATAAAGAAGATGTGGCACATGTATACAATGGAATATTACTCAGCCATAAAAAGAAACGAAATAGAGTTGTTTGTAGTGAGGTGGATGGACCTAGAGTCTGTCATACAGAGTGAAGTAAGTCAGAACGAGAAAATCAAATACCATACTTTAACACATATATATGGAATATGAGAAAAAACAAAAAGCTCTGAAGAACCTAGGGGCAGGACAGGAATAAAGACGCAGATGTAGAGAATGGACTTGAGGACACGGGGAGGGGGAAGGGGAAGCTGGGACGAAGTGAGAGAGTAGCATTGACATATATATACTACCAAATGTAAAATAGATAGCTAGTGGGAAGCAGCCGTATAGCACAAGGAGATCAGCTTGGTGCTTTGTGACCACCTAGAGAGGTGGGAGGGAGACTCAAGAGGGAGGAGATATAGGGATATATGTATACATATAGCTGATTCACTTTGTTATACAGCAGACGCTAACACAGCATTGTAAAGCAATTATACTCCAATAAAGATGTTAAAAATAATAAAACGGGAATAATAATAGTGGCTAACTCAGTTTGTGAAGATTAAATCAGTTGATATGTAGCTAACACATATAGCACCGCACGTGCGCACGCACAGCTCATGGCTTGGGAGTCACAGGGGCTTCTGAGTGTTGAAGTTACTTATAATTTGTTATTTCTTCATGACTTATAATTTCTCCTTCAAAGCGGCTTACTTGTCTAGGTTATATAACAAGATTACTGGTTGAATGATGATCCTAAGCTTTTTGAGCCTGGGAACCATATGTTATACATCTTTGCCAGGATAGAAAATCATCTGTCAGGTAGAGGTGGGAGATAAGAGGAGTCAGTGATAGGCAGAATGGCAGGAGGCTGTCAGGAATAACTTCATAGCGGAGGTGATGCTTGATCAGTGTTTTGAAAGATGAGTAGTTGTCTGCCTGAATGCCAAGAAAAGGCATTACAGGGGTGAGGGCATTTCAGTCAAAGGAAGCAGTTGGGACAGAGATACAGAATCCAAAACGCTATGGGCAGTTGGAGAGATCCCCAAATAATCAAGGGATTCAGTTGGAAGTAGACAGGGGCCAAATCATAGTCAGCCTGCAGTGCAGTACTAAGGTGGATGTAACCCTGGAAGCAACGAGAAGCAACTGGGCAGATTTAAGCAGTCATGGCATTATCAGATTTGTGTCTTGGGAAGATTCTTGGGTTTCAGTATAGAGGATAGGTTGGAAGGATGTGGAATTGGAACCACTGGATCAAGTGGTTAGGGGACTATTGCTGTGTCCATGAGAAAGAACATGCGAGCCTGAATTAAGGGCAGGGGGAGTTGAGGAATTGATGCTGCATAGCTATCCATTGGTTGCAGATGAGGAAAAGGACGAGTTGAAGATAACTCCTACATTTTCGACTTAGAATACTTGGTGAATGGAGTTGCTTTTTCTGAGATTTGGAATCCAGTAATATTAATTTGTGGAATGTATGCTATGTGATGGCACCTGTATAGGGATTTTCCCATTATTTATTTTAATTCTCATAACAATCCAGAAACTGAATGTATTATTATTCTATGTTAATATGAAGAAATTAAAGCACATAGCTTACGTATATTTATGAAGCTTCCAGGGCTGGATTTAAATCTATGTCTGTTAGGTTTAAGAATAGTGTTTTCTTTCCCATAGGTGTTGTCTCCTAGGAGTAAAACAGGTTTTAGGGGAAAGATAATGAATTTGATTTGGGATGTTTGAATTTTAAGATGCCTGAGGGGCATTTGAAAGCAGGCCTGTTGCTCAGGAAAGTGATTTATGCTGGAGACAGAGATTTGAGGTCATTGACATATGAGTAACAGTTAAAGCCATAGGAACCCCTTAACCTGGAACTCAACAATGGGCTTTTAGGGAGGAAGGTCCTGAAAATGTATGCAAATTTTTGTGTATTTGTAAGCAGATCCATGCTTCCCTCCCTAGGGAGAGTGCACATAGCTTCTTCAGATTCTTAAAGGAGTTCATGACTCTGAAAAGATCAAGAACTACTAGTGTAGAGTATAAAAGAAAAAGAGCAAAAGTCAGAAGAGTAGGAAATATTAATTAAAGGGGTAACAGAAGAAGAAAAAACTAGCAATGGAGACTGAGAAATTTCAGTCAGAGGGTAAAAGGAAATCAGGAGAGAGTATTCTAGGCATGAAGAAGATAACTGCTCAGTTTTACTGGATGCTACAAAAAGGTGTTATTGAGGACCAAAACCAATCCATTGTATTTGATAACTAGGGCAATGGTGACTTTGCCAGAGGAGTTTCGGTGGAGTGGGGGTGGGAGGATGAAATTTTGATAACTGTGGATTCGCAGGATGAAACACAGCCTCTTAAGGGAAGAGATTTCACCTGTTTTTTCACTGTATTCCTGGGACTTCACTGTATTCCCGCCACAGCGAGGTGATCAACAGTATTTATTGAAGGTTGAACAGATGAAGAAGTGGTGACCATTAATAACCAGGTACCATTAGTAACAGCTGCTTTTTCTTTTGTTTCCAGGCTCCATCCTTCAATAGCACTTATCCACCCAACAACCGGGCTGGGGGAGCAGTAGTGTCTCTATGGCATAAACGAAGAAACTGTGACTCAGAGAGGCTGAGTAAACTGCTTGATGCTGTACAACTACATACAGTGATGAATGTGAGATTCAGACTTGGATTTGTCTGGCTCCAAAATCTCTGTTACTTCCATGACAATAAAACAAAGGAGAAGAAGAGCGAGAGGTGAGTATGTGCCTCTCAACTGTTATTAAATTTTCCCTTATCTATTCGCCTTCTTCCTTTCACTCTCTCTTGGGTTGTTCTTATTCTTCATAGACAAAGCAGTGCCTTCACAGAACTATAAAGATTGATCAAAGTACCAGATTATGAGATTATTCAGAGGCCAATATGTAATCCTTGGGGCTTTCATTCTCATCTCACTCTCACAGCTGCCTGCATTAATACTCTCTGATAAACACATGGTTTCCTTTTTATTCTGGAAAACATCGATTCTCAATAACAAAGGATGCATATTTAAGCAAACCGCGGAATATATAGTCATCACTGAATGCTCAACTTGGAAAGACTGTTGTATTGCAGCTAGCTCTTTCTGTAAAGAGAGTAGGATTATAAAACCAAAAGAGACAAGAAGGAATATTTTCTGCTCAACCAAGCATATCTAAAGCATATTAGAAGTTTGGAGACAATATCCTGTGTTATTTTTTTTAAAAAAAGGTTGCATGGAACTATTACCTGGTTGTAAGAAAATAGCATGTAAAAAGGGATAATGTTATGAGTAAAAAAGGTATGGAGAAAAGAAAAGATGTGTGAACACTTGGTTTTTATTCTTTGACTTGGTCACAGAACTCAGCCATTGAGAACACATCTTTTTAAGTTGCCTGCATCAGTGCTGTGATAGCTCTTTAGTGTTTGATACATTAAGGCAGGTATATGTTTTGGCCATTTCTAAAAACTCAAGATTTTCCTGGAAACCCCTTGTATGTTCTAGCCATCCATTGCTAGATAGCAATATGTGGATGTTACAGAGAAATGTTACAGAGTGAATGTTATTTGTCTCTAGGACATAATGGAGGAGGAGGAGCCTGTGATTTAATATTTTGGTTTTTAGTTTGAATGTGATTCATACAGTGTGTCACAGGACTGTAATTGTGATATTAGATATAGCAGTTGCCTATCTGCTCTTCTTTCTGTCTTTCTCCTTGTTGTTACGATGAAGACAATGATATTGCCTCCCTCATAGATATATGAAGGTAATCCATGAAAAGAATTTAGCGCAGTGCGTGGCACTCGGCAAGTATGCAATAAATGTTAGCTGATATCGCCTTCCTCCTTATCAGCTACATTATTGTCATCATCACTGAACTCCTCTGAACTCTACTCTCACAGGGAAGTGATAATGTGGTAAGGAGCTTTGGTTCCCTTATATATGCACAAGGCTTATCAGAGGTGATAATACTGCCACGACCTTCCTATCTCTTTGGTACTGGGACATTGTTTGATCTAGAAAGGAACAGGCATGGGTTTAGGTGAGACTCCCCTCAGGATGTTGGCCTGCTTTGTTTTGAGCTACTTTACCTTGAGGTGATTATGCATGTATTTTATTTTATTTATTTATTTAAAAAAATTTTTTTTAAGGGGTAAGGGTGTAGGGGACATTTCATTGCTTAGTCCAAGGAGCCCTTCTTTTTTTTAAAAAAAATTTTATTTATTTAGATTTATTTTTGGCTGTGTTGGGTCTTTGTTTCTGTGCGAGGGCTTTCTCTAGTTGTGGCAAGCGGGGGCCACTCTTCATCGGCAGTGCACGGGCCTCTCACTATCGTGGCCTCTCTTGTTGCGGAGCACAGGCTCCAGACGCGCAGGCTCAGCGGCCATGGCTCATGGACCTAGTTGCTCCACGGCATGTGGGATCTTCCCAGACCAGGGCTTCAACCCGTGTCTCCTGCATTGGCAGGCAGATTCTCAACCAGTGCGCCACCAGGGAAGCCCATGATTATGCTTGTATTTTAGAACTCAAAGCATGTAGACAGAGCAGAGAACAAGGATGAGGAGAAGATTTAAGCAAAAACTGATTAACCACTGAGTGAGAAGCATCTATAAGCCACATTTGGTAAACTTAGGATTCAGGCTGTGGTGATCTGGCTCCATAAAGAAGTGGAAATACTTAGACTTGAAAGGAGGGTATAAAGCTACCTGGGAGCTTGTTAAAAATGCAAAATCTCTGGCTCCAATCCAAAACTACTGCCCCAGAATCTGTATTTTAAAAAAATCCATAGTGATTCATATGTACAATTAAATTCTCTTGAATGAGATTGACTAGGAAGTGGAAGAGAGATGGTAGCATTGGGCCTTGCATAATGTAAATCGCCCCATATATATAGAATCAGAATATGTAAGGGGTGCTTCCCTGGTGGTGCAGTGGTTGAGAATCTGCCTGCCAATGCAGGGGACACGGGTTCGAGGCCTGATCTGGGAAGATCCCACATGCCACGGAGCAACTGGGCCCATGAGCCACAACTACTGAGCCTGCATGTCTGGAGCCTGTGCTCCGCAACAAGAGAGGCCACGACAGTGAGAGGCCTGCGCACCGCAATGAAGAGTGGCCCCCGCTCGCCGCAACTGGAGAAAGCGCTCGCACAGAAACGAAGACCCAACACAGCCAAAAAAAAAAAAAAAAAAAAGAATATGTAACGGGCTAAGGAAGCTGCATTTTAAGAAACCCTTCAGGGAATTTTTATGAACACTAGAGTTCAAGGACCACAAGTAAAAGATAAAAACTGTCCTGGGGAGGAGTGCAATATACACTATCAACAGTAGATGTCACTACTGTACAATTTGAAAATGACATCGTTAGCAGCCAAAAGAATTATTACAAGAACATTCTCTAAATTTGCAATGTAAAGATCCAGGGAAAATGAACTCTAATTTAAACAGAGTTGGATTTTCCTGTGATTTTATTAAAGATCTCTAGGACATATGAACAGCTTACAAAGAGTGATTGGAGATTTAGAAATTTGGGGTTCATGTAAGTAAACCTGTTCTAAGGAATAATGTCTCAGTGTACTTGGGGAAATAAAGTGAATGTTTTGTGGTTTAAAAAACCAAACTGGATTCCACAGTCAAAGTATACAAGGCACTCAGTGACTCTTAGAATATCTTTTCCTTTTCCTGGCCTTATATCACAATGTTAGTTTTATACTGGGTTTGCCAGATATTTAATTTTCATCTGCAGCTCAGGGATTGAAGCCTTGTGTGCTGTCCCTGTAAACATTGTCTTTATCTGTAGACACTGCAGCATGCTGGGGGACTTGGATTCAATTTCTGGCTTTTCTGTAAAGCTCCATGTGGATCACCACGACAATTTCTTAACGTCTGTGAGCCTTGAAACAGGCATAAAAAATGTCCACATAAGGGGTATCATGAGGAGGACCCAGATAATAAATGTGAAATAATTTTGAAGTGTTAAATAAATACAAAGTATTATTTGAATGCTTATAGTGTTGGACCTTTGCTTTGATATTGGTCTTTGAAACCTCACCAAAGTACCCTTTCCATAAAAATGACTCTGGTTCTGCTAAGAGCCTGGTTATTTTCCCCAACTACATCTTTTGTTCCGCATGTAAGGTTGACTGATAAAATGTAGGATACTCAGTTACATTTGAGTTTCAGATAAACAATGCATAATTTTTTAGTGTAAGTATGGGTTAGATATTGCATGGCAATCTGGCAAATCTAACTCAAAGGCAAACTAAGGAAGCTGTTCCATGTTTATATTTCTGTACCCGAAGGTCATCTAATTGATCAAATCTTCTATTCTGCCTTGTATGGAAAAAGTCTGGCTCAAAAAATGTAGGTCTAAAAATGCTTTTGGAGAGTTATTGCTAACTGAAAGCTCACATCTTCAAAAATGTTTATACTTCCTGTCTAGAAATGGCTTGCTTGGGCTTATACACTAAAGACTGCTTGGAGGGAAATAGGGCCACTTAATTAATCCTTGGAATTATTTTTCATTTCTGTTATAGTCTGTTATTCTTTTGATTTTGATTATTCATTAAAATGTCTTTCTCTCTCCCACTGTGTGGTTGTGGGACTAGAAGGAGGGAAAGCGTGAATCTCCAAAATGAAAGCCACTCAAATGTTGGTGTATAAAAAATTCTGATGCATTTCTGGCACAGTCCTCTCTTCCCAATTATATTTCATGCAGCAAATTATGCTATTAAAGTGTATAGACTATACATAGAGAGTCCACATCCCAATAATGGACAAGAGTAAGGAGAAGGAACGGTGGGAGTGAGGTATATGCTAAGTGTTGAGAAAGAGTTATTCTGGGGAACAATTTGCAATTTCAAAGTACTTGAGGATAATACACAAAATGGGGATTAACAAAATAAAATAAATTCAGAATTACACTTTCATGGGTATGCCCTGAAGTAGAATGAGGAATAACCTTAGGAATCCTGATGTACTGAACTGCCAAGTCTAACAGGAAGCCCTTGGAGGGTAACTGCAGAAAAATGGCACCTTTTGGCTCAGCTAATGTTAGCATTAGCCTATGGACACTAGGTGGCAATACATGGCAACGTGAGGATTTTCGAATTTGTGGTGGGATGCTGAATTAGCGGGGGAAGAGCTGTGAGATGAGCTTTGGTTTCCTGCTGTTAATACAGAGCCCTTCAATTTACGGTAGAATGTTCCTTCAGCTGTGATCTTATGAAACTTAAATGGGGCAGGGATCGGGTCGGATCCACCTCTAGTGTTTTCCTTCCTTTTATTTTCTTCCATTTTAAGACTGGTTACTTCACACTTCTGCAAAGTACTTAGTCTCATCGGGCATCCAAACTTGATACCTATGTCTAAATTTAGATACAGAGATGACAAAGCTGTTTAATTGGAGAGGTATTAACAGGAGAGGAGAGCGACATTGCACTGAGGTGATTTCAGCCACCAATGAGGGTTCCTGGGCTGTGTGTTCCTGTCACTAAGAACATTTGCTAATCTGCTGACAAATTGCAATGGGAATATCTCCTGGACATGCTGAAAGCCCAGTGCCCTGTCATTTGAGTAGAGTAGGCTCTTCACCAGCCCATGGGAGTATCAATGATTAGCCTACGCTTTGGCATAAGGTTCCCGTTTTCTTTACGGTTTGATGATGTTGGTGGCATCAGTGATGCATGTTTGTTAATTACTTAAAGAAGCTTTTGTCTTTAAAAAAATCTATAAAAGCT